TCATTTAGAATATTTGTTTGTCATGTAAATTGATTTACATGTTCATATTTTTATTGTTGAAAAAAATTACGAAGTTAATACATCAAAAAGTGTTTAATTAATTAAATAGTAAATTAATAAATTAATTATCAAAAATTATTAATTTATTTGTATGGAATCTTAAAATATGGATACAAAATTTTTGGTCATTTCATTTCTCAATAATAAAATTAAAAAAAAATTATAATTATAATTATAATAAATAAAATAATCTAATCTCAATTTAAAAAGTTCAACATCTACGATATATTAAAAAAGGATTTTGAACAAATATTTTTAGACTATACCCTCTCTTCGATCTATAAATTTACAAAACATGTCACATAAAATTAATGTTAAATAATGAATAAATGCATTAATTATCAATAATAAATAATAAATTAATTAACAACCCTAACAAATATTTTAAAACTATTTTTTAATAAATATTTTAAAACTATTTTTTAATAAATATTTTTAAACTATTTTATCCATGGTCAAATTTTAAATTTACACAATATGTCATTAATAATTATTCATAAGCAATATATTAATTAATTATTTTTTTCGTGAATATTAATTAATTATTAACAATAATAAATAAATGAAAGATAAAAAAAATTAGACTATGAAAAGATTAGTTGTTTCATTACCCAATAATTTAAAGAATTTTTCTTTAATTTTAATTAATTAATATTATTATAAGTCAAACTGAGGTTAAGGCACTTATCTTTGACCTAGAGTTCGAATCCCTACTCACATATTGTATAAAAAAAATTAATATTATAATTTCATGAGTTATTGTGAACTCAAAACTAAATTTCATTTTTTCTTTATTATTAGTCTTTCTCAATCTGTTGCTCTTAGTCTCTTTCTTCTTGAAATTGAAGTAACTCAAGACAATGTTACTCATGTGATCTATATCTCAAATCTAATTTGAGATGATGCAATATTTCACTTTGATGTAATTTAATAATGATGTTTTTTTTCCAACTATGAGGTGGGATAAATTCTATTTTAACAAATATGTATATATCTAGACCTTTTTTTGTTTTGTTTTTTGTTTTTACTTACTATATTTTTCATTATTCTTTTATAGTTAATATTATTTTTATTTTAGAATATTTCTGCCTACTTTGAAATTTATTAGCTCAATGTACTATAGATTCAAAGTAAATTTAACATGTTTTTAAAATTATTTTTCTCTTATTTCCTAATAACAATAATATAAGTATATAATCATAAATATTTTTAAAGGAAGCTACCTAATATTTGAGATGAATAATAGACAAAAGTATTTAATTCAAATGAAATATTTAATCTTTTTTTTAATGGTAAGAGTCTATTATAATTTTTAATAAATTCTCAAAAATTTTATAATATTATAGAGTTATTTAAATGAAACTTTTTAAAATTATTATTAGTTTTATAATATATCTTTTATTTTTCAATTAATAGATAGGTTAATATAAAACATTGACAGCTTTTTATAAAACAAAAAATAGTTAAAATTAATTTTAATTATTAATAAAATTTTAAATTGTATAATATTTTATTAATAATAATTAATATATTATTTATATTTCAGGTTAACAATTATTCTAATAATTATAAAAAGATTATGCAATAAGATACAGTCCGTCCTAGTTATACAAAAAAAGCTTTTATATGTATACTATATATAATGTTTTTAAATACGAAAAAAAATCGGCTTAACATTTTAAAAATTTTAATTTGACCATAATATTTAAACTTTTGTTAGGTATTTCAATACAAAAAATTGCTAATAAAATATTCATAATCTCTAATTTCTTTAAACGGTGAATGACCTAATTATTTATCTTTAGAGATTTTTATCAGTCTCATATGGGATGGGCTTATTTGGCTTTGAGTGTATATTTACTTGGGTTTATTTGACTTTTCACAATTTGATTGGACCAAAGTCATATATATTTAATTTGTATAATTGTCAAATGACCATTTAACACTGTTTAATTATCAAAACGAGCATAGCTAAGTGATAATTGACATATACCTCCAACGTTGTGAGTTCCATCTCCCACCCTATTCAAAGAAAAAAAAAACGTTTAATTTTTCAACTTTTATGTCTATTTTATTTAATTTAGAAGTATTTGTCTGTTTGTAATTGATTTTAATTTTAATTAACGACATTCAATTTTATCATTGATTTTGAAAGTATTAGTAATAAAATGTAATTTGTCGACACTTATCTCTCGATCATTTAATTTTAGTGGTGCCGGGTGTTTTCCATCAAATAAAGGTTAAATATATAAAGTAATTCGGCAGTTATCAATTTCGTACTTCATCTTTTAAATTTTTCATTTTTACTTCAAATATATAAACAAAATTTCAATTAATTTATTTCAGAAAAAAATATATTAAGTTTCGTTGATGTGCTAGTTAACTTTTATGAGTTAAAATAACATTCAGCATCACTGTACTATTGAAATGGTTTGCCAGTAGGATGATTTCTACAACAATCTCCCAACCTCTGAACAACCCCTCCATCTGGTGGGGCATCTATCACAGTGGGAAGTTCTTGCGGTTGTTTGACTACGTACTCCCAATTGACAAATGGTATGTCAATGAATCAAATATACATAAAAACAATATTTAATTGTACATCAATTTTTTTTGTTAATAAAATTAAAAGAAATTATAATGAAAAATTTTAATTATATATATGAATCATCTATTAATAAATATATAATTAAGAGAAAGATTGGAAATTCTAAAACATCAAAAAGACTAAATTGATAATTACTTAGGTGTTTAATACAAAAATTGACAAACTTTGCAAAGTTCAGATTCGGGTGTGGCCGGAGAAAGACAGAACCTGTCCAAAGAGAGAAAGAGTTCCTACGCTCAAGCCAGTTTGATCTATTGCTCAAAGATATAGAATAGCCTTGCATACCTGGAAAATGAACTGGGTTTGATCTCCTATTTATAAATTTTGGAGCCTCGACATTATTGATTAAATCGTTACGACCACCCTGTAAACCACGACGTATTATTTGAAAAGTGGTTAGAAGTAAGCGAACGCGAAATGCTATAAACATCGGTTCGACATTTACAAATTAGGTCAGCTGTTTAGATAATTTTAGGTCGGTTCGACCTTTGATGAAGATTCGAACAATGAACATCATATATATCACTTCGAACTTTACTTAGGTCCGAGCTGTTTATTCTCCTCTGAAAGATTCGACCTTCAAACTGCGTGTCATCATGATGACTCGACACTTTTCGATCTAATATTGATTGACATGTGGTCGATACGTTAGGATCCTTCAATATATTTAACTTAAAGTTAAACCTTGACCAATAAAATATTAGATTGAGAACATAGAAGATGAAAAGAACAAGCCATGGGGAACCAAAACCACTCAATCATGAGACAATAAAGGGAACATATATTCCAAAACCACAACACCCCACTCCATTCATTTTCCTCATTTATCCTTTCAACTTTTGGTTTGGTCTCAAGAAATCATCTTCGCGTGGTCCACGAGTCACAATACCATTAAATTAATATACATTATTTTTATTAAAAGAATAATATATGTCATGCATTATTGGAAGAGTTTTGTATTTATAATTTTATACTAGACAACGACTTTGTATGGTATATTGTAACTATATACTTGTCGTATTTAACCACACTATAGTTCTTTTAATATGCAATATCTTTTAATTCTCACTCTTTAAATATATACGTCATATTATAAATTATTTGAACGAATATATTATGTGGTAATTTGCGACATATGGAGAATGTGCGACTCAAAACATACGAGACAAAAAGAAAAGAAAATGAGAAGAGAGAGAGAAAAAAAAAGAATTCAAAATTATGAAACAATATTGAATGAATAAGATTTCGATTATAGAATAATTTGGAAGTTCGAACGTAACTTTCACCTCACATTTGTTGAATTAAAAAAATAAATTATGTTAGTAACATAATTTATTTTTTTAGACCATCCAAGTATTCTAAAACTAAATTTAATGTTTCGGTTTCACTTAAAAAGGCTAATTGAGTTACCATAATACCCTTTGACTATAAGATTGGACATGTTAATATTATTGCACTAAAAAATGGTAGATTAATTTTATTACATTAAAATGTGAAAATTATGTGAATAATAATAACTCTTGCAATTCTTTCTTTTTAATTTTCTATTTTTAAAAATTATGTTAGCCTGAATTTTAAAAACGTATTTACATTCTTTAAGTAAATTCAAAAAACAAAAACAAGTTTTTGAAAACTTTTTTCTTTCTTTAAAATTGACTTATATTTTAAAAATGAATTTTTAAAAATAGATAGAAAAATAAAGAAATATATAAAAATAGTGTTTACAAACTTAATTTTTAAAAGTAGATAAATAAAAAACAAAATAATTATCAACCCGTAATAATGAGATAAAAAAAATAACCAATATGTTTTACTATTTTATACATAAAATACTGATTTATCAATGAAAAGGGCCACTAACAAACTATCCATTTAAAAAATATTTTGTGCAATTTCATACCTAAAATATTTGATTGGGACTTGAAAGACGTGGTATTATTATTATATTTATATTTCGACAAATGTCAGCACTCCATTGGACGAAGGAAAAAAATAAAAATTAATAGTAATATAATAAAGTGAGTAGCCTCCCTCTGTCTCCGTTTTTGACCAATCCGAATCCTCGAGGGTCAAATTAAAACCAGGAGCAACAACGGCAGCCG